ATCTGAGCTGCAGATACACGAAGTAAGAAGAAAAACGTGTCCTTAAGTCCTGAAATGAACGAAGGCCTTGGGCGTTGAATAGATCATCAAAAAGGTTTATCCCGAGTGAGAACCAAGAGGGTTGAACAAATGGTTGGTGATATATTTGGAGGGCTGATGAAGACAACACAATGTCAGGATCCCAAATCTCATGGAGTCAGTCGAGGGAAGTGACCCAATTACTTTCTTGGGGAAGTTTATTCCCAAGATTGTGGAACTATTGGTTTGGTCTGTCACTGTGATAACGGTCTTTTCTTTCTGATTTCATTTTTATTTTAATTATATCTTCTAACCTGTTGTTGCCTTTACCCATGAACTTAACTTTCATTTTTGGGAAAGTAATAAATAATGCAGATTTTATCGTTATTACTGTTGATTTGTTTACTCAGACCTTCTCTGTCACTTTTTAACCGGATCTCGAGGGAAGGAAGTCCCTTTTAGCACAGTTGCATTAGCAGATTTGTCTGAAGCTGGTTTTTCTCTTTGCTCCAGAAGAGTTATACACAGGGCTCTCCCCGTCTGCTCTCTGTAATATGTTGACATTTCTATTGTTTTTGCAGGTCTTGTCCTTCTAACAGGGTTTTCCAGTCAACTGTTCATTCTTCTGCTGCTGATAAGTGTAATGGGGTTGTGAGATTTTCCATTGTAATCTACAGTTCAAATTGTTGGGCTGACAACGGTGGTAGAATAGCTGTGCAAAAACTCAAACTGATTTGTGGTCAGCTAGTACTGCTGGGCCTCTCAGGCTTTAAACTTGTTATATGTGCTCTGATGGATCATACACTGTATAGATTATTAACAGAGTCTTTGCAAGCGTGGTCAAACAACAATAGCAATAGTAGATTGCTGCTGCCTGTTAAATCCTAGTGTTTACCCACCTATCATTAAGACATAAATCCAACTCAAGAATTGACTTCAGTTTTGTGTCTAGTTGTTTGTTCCACGAAATCTGAGGTGAATCACGTAGGCTTTACTCTCCCTGACTGTGAAGCAGGGACTGCTCCGTACACTACACCTCATCGAAACACCACCTAACTGTGCGATGAGCTCTTTGGGAAGCCCCGGTCGGTGTCTCTGAATCCAACCACAGACGACTTCAACCCCGACCTCCTCTTGCCGCCTTTTATTGAAAACAGTTACAGTGCACACAAGCAGCACCCATTGTAAAATCCCCCTATGGTCACAAAAGGTTAAAATTGTGTGTGTGTGTGTGTGTGTGTTTTGGGTGTGTGTGTGTTTTGGGTGTGTGCGTGTTTTGGGGGTGCGTTTGTGTGACTTCCTGCTCACCAAAGGCTAATCTCCCCCCCGTGTATGGCTTAACCCCTCTAACAGTCTCACAAAACACGAACACAGGTGAGGTCATAAAGGCAGGAAGTAAAACATCCTCACTAAATAAGAAACAGAACCCTCACATAGGATGTGTCCCTGTAATGAAACACTACAGCCTCCCCCACCCACAGGCTGGGGAGGTCAACAGAAACAAAAGAATGTCTTTGATCATGCTGCTTGAACTAAGACTTACAAATTTAAGTAACACAATGACAACATTTAACAATTTGATTTGTGTAAAAACAACAAAAATGTGATCACAAAAGATACACTTCCTGTTCCTCTTTCTGTGCTTGTTGTTATTTGTAGTAAACACTGATGGACTATATGTATAGAAAAGTCTGAGTGCAGCTGCAGTCTGCCAGCTGAAAGTTGTGCCCGTTAACAGCTGATTCTGCTGGTCTGACAAAAATGATGCAAAAAGATCCCTGTTCCACATCTTTAAACTTTTGAACAGGCGGTGAGATCGGCGCGACTTGTCTGCTCTTCTCCCTTCAAACCTTTTACCCTCTGCATCCCTTCCTCTCTCCCTGTCAGGTCTAGACTCTGAAGACTCTCCTGTCCTCCTCTCTACTGAGGATTTCTCCACTGCTTTAGAAAACTTCAAGTCATCAGTTTCTGATGAGGAGCTCCTGCGATACAAAGACATTCAACAAAAACTCGCTGCAAAGTAGAAACACACAGACATCTGTTCGTCATGGGGCTGACAGATGTTCAACAGTTTCATTTAAATCACCTCAGAAACATCACTGCTGTACAATACTGCACGGCAATGTAAATCATTTAAACAGAAGTTGGTAATATATTTAATTAATAAAGACACTAATGAAAAGTGGTTTGTCTGTCTCTGTGTTAGCCGTGTGACCCTGGACCGTCAGTCTGTCCCGGGTGTACCCGGCCTCTCGCAGCCTGTAGGCTCACTGTGACCCTGGACTGGCTGGATGAAAACTGGTGTAGAATTTCACTGTGTTTGGTGGAGCTGCCATCATCATTTGTAATTGGCACATAAGCGGGGCGTCAGAACGATCTGGAGTCGTGTTTCAGCACCTTCAGTAAATCTGAGCGGCAGCTTAATGCTGTTAAGGAAGATCTTTCTATTTCTGTGCTGGAGCCATGGTTCCACCTGCAACGCTCGCCACACAGCCTGCTTTCCTTCTCGTGTCTGTCATGCATGTAAGCATGCATAGGTCAAAGTTACAGCCAGTGTTTTTCTACACGTAACTACCATGAACAAAGCTGCTGATACCATAAACTCCCACAAAAGAAGAATCAGCAGCAGACACAATCTGTTGGACCTTTTTGTCAGCCATGTTAGTGATACTCATAGTTCCCCAAGTGCAACATTATACTTTTACTTTAAACTTTATCCTTTTTCCTTTTCTGGACAGGGAGGAACGCTGGTTTGAGGGCGGAGTCAAGGGAGGCCATTTACGTGAAAAGAGAAAGGCCCCATCCTCCATTCAGAGATGGCCTAAGGGTCCATCTGTCACCATCTTACATGCTGTGATTGCAGCCATTCAGCTCTCTGTGAATGAGACTCATGGCCGTTGATCAGTGAGCGTTGTTCAGTGGTCATGAGAATTTGCATATTAATGATCATAAACTGACCTCCCAGCCCATTGTTCCGTCAGTGCTGCTGGTTTCAGTCATTATGCAGATGTTTACAAGGTTGGAAACCTGCAGTCAGCTGAGACTGAAGAAGGCAGTTGGATGAGTGACAAAACATTTCTCCCACTGAAAACATCCAGATGAACAGAATTCATCTTTTGGGGCTGTTTATAATAGATGTAATTTATCCACTCCGGGTTTTTTATTGTTGGTATTACATGTCCAAAGAATAGAAGCCATGATGTGATCCTGCAACAATTTAATTGCATACTTTAAATTTATCAGGGATCTCTGGGGTGTCTTTGTTTGAAATCATTAACAATAGCAGCCCGTCTGACAGCCTGGTGGAAGTGTTTCAACAAATGTGTCCTTAGAAGTTTATTTAGATGGTGCTATTTCGAACAATTCTGACTTTACAATTAACATGAAACCACTGTACTTGTGCATACGAGTTAGAAAAGGCTTCACACACCTGCAGCACATTTTTAAAGTAATATCCTGGTCTTATTTTCTCACTTGATGCAGACGTACAGGATACGGACATTTATCTGCAATACCTACAACTTAAATCAGTTGTCCACTCACTTAATACTGAGCTTAATACTATAAATGTTATCTTTCCACAGGCAACTTCAACATCCAATTACAAAAAAAAAGAAACATGGGAATCAGACCTATCACTACTATCACTCCATCACTACTAATGCCAACATCTGGAATGAGATTTGCAGAAGCATCTATTTCAAAACAAAATCTGCCAATTTACAGCTAATGCAATATTAAATATTCCACAAAACTCAGCTTTCTAGACAAACAACTTTAAATAGGAGTCACATCAGGATTGTTCACAAAATTAGGTAAATGGTTTTATGCAGCTCTGCTTTTACAGTTAAATCGACTTAAACTACAGTATAAAAGAGCCCTTGCACTGCAGTGGTGGTCTCTTTGATTGAAGCCCAAGTCAAAAAAGCCCAGTATGCAGATGGCATTGCTGTCTTCAGTAATAGATTAAAGTTTATTGTCATGTACACTGCAAAACACAAATGGTTACTCTGAGCAATGAAATTCTTGCTTTGCGAGTTCCCAGGCAGGGGACAGAAGTAGTGGTGGTTGAAGTGAGCCTTCAGAAAACGAGGGAAACGGCTGGCTCACCAGAGGAATGGGCGCAGGCATCTGCCAGGTGGCAGGAGTGTGATCTGTGTGCCGTGGGTGGGTGCGGTCCTTAATGATGTTGTGTGCCCCTTTTCCGACCTGGGTGATGTAAATCTCCTGTAGTGGTGGGAGGGGTACTCCACAGGCAAACTGTGCTGTTGGAATTACCTCACTGTGATGGAGTTTGTCAGGACACTCTTTGCTGTGCATCTGTAAAGGCTGCTAAGAAGTTTGGAGGTTAATCGAAATTTTCTCAGCTTCCTTAGAAAGAAGAGGTTTCAAGATCGAAACCATCATGAACTGAACACACCTGCAAAGCAGGTTGCTGAATTTAGATGCGTGAGTGTCATTGAATACCTGTGCCTGTGAAAGAAGTTAGTTGCACATGATTATGTTCTTTCTAGCACATGGCTTTGGAAATAAATATAATTCCATATTTTAGTTATAAAAAGGGGGTTGTCATAGTTTACCCCTTCAACATCAACCAGGTAACCAAAAAACTCAAGACGACCTCAGAATCTGGAGCTTTTTCCTATAAGAGATCTGGAAGTGAGAAAAGGCAATAAATAGACATTTTCACATAAATCTGCAACAGTAGGGCTGATGAGAAATAGAAATCTATTTTAATATTTGATATCTGGCAAATAGGTCTTTAAATTAGTTGGTGTTGATGCTTCTTATCACCTGTCCATGGGCCTTTGGAGAAAAAGCCCATGGACGGTGTCTGCTCATTATACTGGAGTGCTTTTGAAGAAAGGTATTTTGAATATAACTTTGTAAGGTGTAGTCCCCTCACTTATGTACTCATCAGTAAAAAAGCTGTCTTTGTGCCATCTGAATTTCATGTTAATTCCAGACAGAGGAGGATTTTTTTAAAGGTTTATTTGAAGATCATCACACACTGACAGTGTTTTTTTTTTTTTTACATCGGAGTTTCAGTGGTAGAGCACAGAGACAACTATGAAAAAGGCAAATGTATTGATTTATTTATTGATTTGGTGTCGATAAAGTAACTATCTAAACTCTGTAACATTAAAAACAGTCAGAATCTTCTCCTTCACTCATGCATCGTTTCACTATAAAACAGTCACATCACATACATCCTGCTGAGGGGAGATTACAAGTGCAGTCTCTTCAGAATCTTCATCTTTATTTCCACCACTCATTCCTTCTGAATGACTTTGACCTTCATCACTTGAGGTACTCGTTTCATCCTCATCCTTGTCCTTGCTCTGGTTCCCCTCCTCTTCATTCTGTCTGTTTAGTGCCCTCTCCCTCAGATCATCCCCCTCCAAACTTGAGCAGTCATCCGAAGTGTCGCTGTCTTCCTCCTTGTGTTCTCCTTTTTCCTCGTTGCTTAGTTCATTATTAGCTCCTTCTCCACCCCTCCACACCTCTCCCTCATCTGCCTGTCCTCCTTCTGTGTCCTCCATGGCATCCTCCTCCATGGCATCCTCTGCTGGTCTCTTGTCCCCTGGCCAAAGCTGAACACCCTGGTGGTCCTCCAGGTTCCTGATCCAGGTTCTCAGCCTCTCCCTCACATCTAATAGGAACCTGGGCACAGAGCCGCTATGGCCGGACTGCTGGCACACGTGATGGAGATATGCCACAAGCACCATCAAAACCATGATGACCAACAGAATGACAATAAGCCAAATCTTCACTGCCTTTTCGGTTGTGGAGAGTGAGGAAGTTGTGCTAGGTAGAGCTGTATTTGTTGTACCTGATGGAACAACGGTTGTAACTGAATTGGATGTTGGGGAGGATGTTGTTGTGCTGTTTGTAGCTCCAGAGGGAGAGTGTGAATAGCCTAAAGTTTGAGTAGATGTCGTATTGTTCTCTAGAGTATAGTTTTGAGTGCCGGTAGCAAAAGATACGGGAATCAAGAGTATCAGTATAAACACTGACATAAGAAGGATGGCTTTGGTCCTCATGGTGACTCTGTAGATGACTAAAAAGACAAAAAGCAGAAACTGCAGTTAAAATGATGTGAATCACAAGAAATGACCTCAGTAGCTCTAAACTCAATGAACAACCTGTGAACAGATTTGTCAGGTAATGTTTCTTTAAACACTAAATGATTATTCAGTTTTGTTTATATAGCACCAAACCACAACAACAGTTGCCTCAAGGCGCTTAGTATTGTAAGGTAAAGACCCTACAATAATACAGAGAAAGCCCAACAATGACACTTTGGGAATGAAAAACTCCCTTTGAACAATCAGAAACATCTGGCAGAACCAGGTGACCAGTAGGGGCTGTGGGGAGGGAGATGGTCAACAGTGGGTGCCTCCCCTACTAAAGAAGCATGCCGTGGTGGAGAGCTGGAAAAAGAAGCAGCGGCAACAACAGGTAGACACTACAAAGGCACACACAGGAAGACGTGTGTGTAAAAACATAAATCCCACATTGTTTGCAATAAACAATTTCTGTAAATGTGCAGATGTGATTGTTTGCCAGCAACTTTCCTCTCTATTTGGAACTGTATACAGTAGATACAGCAGTACCTGTACTCTATAGCTCCATCCAGCAGGTAAATAGTTACATATTGTTAATGCACATATTTTAAATGTTTTAAAGAACTTCAATAACTCAATAGACTCAAGACATTTGCCTGAATATTTAAAAAAATGATTTATAATGTTTATTTTCATTCTTCCATGATATGACATTAGTGTCTCCTCACTGTGCAGCTGGTCTTTTTTCCTGCTACTTATCTCTTCTCCTGCATATTGCATTACCATTCTGAACATGTGTCTGTCTCGTGGTTACAGCGTCACCAGTTTGCTCTGGTTTTTCAGAGGTTTTTCTTTCCCACGTTACTGAGTGCTTGCTAAGAGGGGAACTTTGCATTACACTGTATACAACAGATGCATAGAGTCTGACAGATTGGAGATGAAACTACTTTAGCAGAGGTACAAAGGTGAAGAAGAAGCAAGAAATCTGCTATATTTAACATCATAAATGATAAACACGCTGTACAGTTACAGCAGCTGTGATTTAGCTAGAAGCCAGGCAAACAGGTTTTTCACTTGCATTTTATTTAGAATTGAACTATTGACATTATTAACATCATATTTTATAAACTGATATCTGAAAAAAATGTTCAGCTATGATTATGAGACACACACCTGTGTGAAGTGACAATCAGTCATGCTTGTATTAGTTACAGGAAGTATGCTGTCATAAGAGTTTTAGTTGCTTTTAGGATAATTAAAAATACAAGACTGACTGATGAAAAGCACACGGACACTCGCTGAAAACTTCACGAGGTACACCTGGTCAGCTGCTTGTTAATGCAAATCAGCAAATCACATGGCAGCAACTAAATGCATGTAGGAATGCAGTCATGGTCGAGATGACATCAGAACGGCGAAGAAAGGTGATTTAAGTGAATCTGGTTGTACTGAGTATTTCAGTAACTGCTGATCTACTGGGATTTCCCCATATAACCATGTCTACAGTCTACAAAGAAACTGGTCAGAAATAGAGCAGCAGCAGCTTCCTGTGTGAGAACGCCTTGTTGATGCCAGAGGTCAGAATGGCCAGGCTGTTTTGAGCAGACAGGAAGACAACTGTAATAACCTTTCTCTATTTGTGTTGTGTACTCTTCGTTGTGCATTTCAAAAAGAGCACCTTGGAATGCTAACACATGAAGCTTTAAGCAGATGGACAACAGAAAACCACACTGGCTTCCACTCCTGTTAGCAAAGAACAGGAAACTGAGTCTACAGTTTTTGTGAAGCCATGAAAACCGTTTGCACAGAACACTCCACTAATAACGAGAATGCCAAATGTTAAAGTAAAAAGGTTATATTTGCCCTGTTCACTGACTCACACTCGTTCAGGCTCAGGATGTGGTTAGTTCTGTGCACTCTGCATCTGTGTTTCACTGAAAAAACAGGAAATCGATTTTGCACCTATCTGCAACTTTGCAACAGCAACTGCAGTAATCAGGGGGTTTTCTAACTGGCACCTGTGAATTCTGACTGTTCTATACACAGGACTAATTGTTCTTTTCACTGACAACAAAGTGAGTTTCACTGCTTCAGTCCACTTCAGATCACTGAGATCTGCACGTGGCCCACCATGTTAAATATTTATAGTGTGGTCACTGTAATGAAGCTTTCATTGCAGTGACCACATTAGAGTTCCTCATGAATAATGACAGCTGCTGAACTCTTATGAATCTCTGTAAAAGGAAACTCAGTTTCAGTTTAGTTAAATCATCCCAGGACTGAAGCTGATTCTAGCCGCATGTTACATATTTTATTACCTTCAATTCAGATAGATTTCTCTCATACTGAAACACAGGAAACGTTTGTTCTTTGAGAATGAAGAACATTTACAACAGGTAGGCAGAAGACAAGGAGGTGAATAAATATGTCCAATAAAGAAATGAGTTAAAATAAATGGGAAACTTTATAATACCAGAAAGATACAATATTAAAAAGTAACAAACCAAACTAAAAACTGCAAGTATTTACTTACTCAGTAAATGAACAATTCAGTGAAGTGATGCCAAGCTCCCAAGAAAGACAGGATGTGAAGGAGGCAAAGTTATAGCTACGTATGTGAGAAGACTTAGAGAAGGGAAAGAAAGCAGACACTGAGGGTGGGTGGGGGAACAACAAAGATGAAGGCTTCAGAAAATAGCTTGCCACATGCTCTCATCTCACAGGTCTCATGCAGTCATTTGTCTAACTTTCCTTTTCTAGCATTCAAATGCAGCAGATATAAAATGCTAAAGACAGAAATTAAAGCTGCAAACACAGAGGGCAGATGACCTGTGCTACAGCTTGGGCGAGCTGTTGGTGATTATACGCACGCAGTCGTTTCTATAAAGCATGTGAAGTTTAGGACAGATTACATGATGTACAACTGTGAAATACAATGTGATGTCCTAGAATAAAACAGCCCTACAGGTCATGTTAATGTCCTAACACAGGGGTCAGCAACCTTTAACACCCAAAGAGCCGTTTGGACCCAGTTTCCACAGAAAAGAAAACACTGGGAGCAGCAAATACTTTTTGACATCTAAAATGAAGATAACACTGTTATTGTTTTTTACCTTTACGCTTTGTATAAACAACTAAATTGTGTTGCTTATGAAATCCATGAAGTGCTACAGAGAAAATTAAATTTTATTTATGTAATGAACACATTTTGAACTCTTAAAAAAATATAACAAACATGAATTAAAAAGCTGAACTTAAATTATTCATATAGCAAACAAAAACTGTAGTGAGCCGTCATCCTTATATCACCTTTGGGATTTTGCGGCCTGTAGCGGAGCTTTGACCTGAATTTTAAAAATAATTGGAAAAAATCAACTGAAAAATAAATATTTGCAAAATATCTGGATAAATATTTATTTTACATGGCTAATGTGTGTGTCGCAGTGTGGTCTGCAGTGCCGCTGCAGGGGAGGCACCTGAGCGGCATCCTGTCAGTCTGTGCTCTCTCTGCTGTTGTGTTGGTGTGTGTGGGCTGTGAGCTGGACAGCTACAGCCGGCTGTGTGGCTACAGCAACCATGTGTGTAAAGTGGTCAATCCGGTTGTTCAGTGATGATGCGACGAATCCTACTTCCGGGCCTAAAGTAGTCTGCGTTTAATATGGCTTTTGTGTTGTTAACATGTTTAATGTTTTGTATTTTCTTCTATTTAATCTCAAAAAGCTCCTAAAACAGTCAGTGATCCCTGTTGACCTCCCTTTATTACCGCTAATCATTTATTTAAGGTCAATTTTTAAAACCTTAGGATGTAACTACAGCCCAGCCCATGCAGCAGTACATGAATGACTAACCTCGTATTGTGGACGGATTATCTCAGTTGTTCTCCTGGCTGAAGTTTGGTCCTTTTACAGCATCCTGCCATGCGATTACATTTGTTCCTGACCACCGAGAACACTCACGTTAACTTTTATCAAGTGGAAAAAAAGTTAGCTTGTTTATATTATGCTAACATAGCTGTGTCGCTAGCGGTCACGTAGCACATCATTATATACCAGCTAGCCCAACTTCAGTAACCCTACAAACGTCACTGCTGTTTAGTTTTCTGTCTTCGTTTATGCTGGAAGTGATAACAGAGCTGTACGTTTTAATTTGTTTCCAAAACCCCGCAGTCAGGACATGCTATATTCTTTTTAGATAGAAGCTAGCGAGCTAACTCCCTGCTAACTTCTAACTCCGTTAAATGTCATAAATTCCGTTTTCATGGATGCCTGGATGTTAAACTCAATTGTTACACCTGGTAGAGCAGAACGCTGATCATTTTATTAAAGATGAAAGACTTTAGACAGTTTTTTAACTCTCAGTAATGTCATAGTGATCGTTTGACATATGGACCTGCAGCGGAGTTTAGGCCCAGACACGGCTAATGACGTCAGACTGAACAACCGGATAAAGAAAAAAAGCATGTTCGTGCAAACATCATTTTTTTCCAAACCACGTGAAGCCGCAGTATAAAGACTAAAGAGCCGCATGTTGCCGACCCCTGTCCTAGGAGAAGGCCTGAAATAGTGAAACGAGAACATTTTAACCCTCGTGCTCATTGTGAAAATTTAGCATAAACATTGTTGAAATTGCTGTTCTTGGTGCTCCCTTAACAGACCACAACAAAATACAGTGCACTCACCACAAAACAAAGCATGTTGCTGCTACCTTTGAAATATCTCAGCTTGCATAGGAAATATAATGCCCATCCCTTCTTGTAACCAGCCTTTGTAAGCTTGTTGTCAGTCTAAACACCCAAACATACGACTTAAATCCTGTTCTGCCCTCTTCTTTCACCATCTCTGAAAGTCTTATGTAGCAGACGATTTCTCCCAAACCACACCATTAGTGCTCTGTACTCCTGCTACTGTCATAAATGCACAAGAGAGTTTCAACAGGTGGAGCAAGACTTTTCTCTGCATGTGAGCTGAGGCTACTGCAATGACATCTTGTGGCACTATGGAGGCGTTTGCTATCCCCATGTATGAGACCCACACATTCTCTGCATGTGCGTCTCTCAGCTTAAGCAGTGTCAGAGCGTAAATGGAGCGGATACACCAACATGGCTCCAAATTTACATCATTTCAAGTCACTAAATTAAAGAAGTTATTGTAATGATATAATGAATCCAACTCACAAAAGAAATGAGTAAAAAACACATTTCACTATTTTAGCTTCCTCGATGCTGCACACTGATTAGATATTTTATTTTAGGTTTCTGTAATGCGTCATCCACCACTATGCACGAGCTCTTTGATCAATTGTATTGTCTAGATGCATTCTCCATCATCCAGGTAAGTAAATCTCCAAAAGTTGATTGTGTTCATCTGGACGTAGCGTTTTCAGTGGGAGAAACGTTTCGTCACTCATCCAACTGACTTCTTCAGTCTCAGCTGACTGCAGGTTTCCCCAACCTTATAAACGATATATTTGCATAATGACTGAAACCACCCACTGAAGGAACAATGATGAAGGAACTGTCCTCCCAACTGTCCTTCCAGGCCTTTGTTCCTTCAGTGGGCTAGTTTCAGTCATTCTGCAAATATATTGTTTATAAGGTTGGAAACCTGCAGTCAGCTGAGACTGAAGAAGTCAGTTGGATGAGTGACGAAACGTTTCTCCCACTGAAAACGTCCAGATGAACACAATCAACTTTTGGAGATCAATTATATTATTTGTACTAAAATATACATTTTCAATTGACTTTAACAAAAAGCAGAAGGAACAGTAAAGCTTGTTCTTATTTTTCTTTAAGATATCAAATTACAGTTTTTACTTGCATTCCTGAGCAGAAAAACATGTTTTATTGTTTGAACGTTATGCTTGATTAATGCCTGACTTCCCAGAGAAGTACCAGATTTCTAAAATTCATGTATGTCTTCTTGTTTTTATGACAGGTTGAAGGTTTCGGCTGCAGTATCACTGCCCACATCAGCAACAGGAAAAGTGCAGCTGCAAAGGCTGAACCAGAAGCAAATTTGTGGCAGTGACACCACACTCTCATCTCTCGTGACCCCACACTGTCAGAGGATGCATGTAAATGCATGCGGCATGGAAAAAACATATTTTTTCTTTGTTTGTTTCACAGCAGGTAAGCTTGCTTGTTTTTCTCATCAGCCAATCTTTTTGGTAAAATGGTTCTAGGAACCATATTATCTTGATATATACACAGTACAGCAGCTAAAATAACTATTGAACGCCACTTTTCCAAGTAAATACATTTCTAAAAGTGCTGTTGATATGAAATTCTTACCAGATGTCGACAATAATCCATCCAATCGACACATGCAAAGAAATCAAACCATATATGTCCATAAATTATGTGTAATAATGAGAAATGACTCAGGAAGTATTGACATGCATACTCTGTGTAAAAGCCTTGTTGTTGGTGATGACAGTTTCAAGGGCTTGAGGGTCCTGAGCAGTATCTTAGCTGGGGTGGCTGTAGCTCAGGAGGTCTCTGTCTGCATGCCAAGTATCCTTAGTATCTAAGATACAAACCTCAAGTTGCTCTCTGATGCATCCATCACAGTATGAATGTGCGTGAATGTTAGTTAGTGAGCACTTAAAACCATAGAAGAAAGTGTGAATGACTGTGTTTGGGTGAATGTGGCATGTTATGTAAAGCGCTTTGAGAATCAGTCCATTTATCATTCCCACGACTGCACTCTTCTGGACAGAGATCTTGGATGTTATTCCTGGGATCTGTTGGAGTCACTGCACCGAGTGCTCCGATTACCATTGGGACCACCGTTACCTTTACCCTCTACATTTTCTTGAGCTCGTCTCTGAGCCCTTGGTACTTCACCAGCTTCTCGTGTTCCTTCTTCCTTCCTTAACCATGTTGCTGTCATTCAGTATCACTACATCTATCATTACGGCTGTCTTCTTCTGTTCGTCTACCACCACTATGTCCAGTATATATACAGCCTGCACCTGGGGTCTTGCCTGGTGTGATAGACCCCAGCCTCTATGGATCTTGTGCTCAGAGCTTGTTGTTGTGCTGCCATGATGAAAAATCTATAGGCAGTTTTAGGTTTAGATCAACAAGTCATAAAGACAAGCATCCCACAGTAGTATCTATGAAATCGGCATTGAACAAATTTATAGAAAATCAAGTGTTTTAACAAATTGGAGTTTAAGAATTGATTTCAAGTCTTGTTTCTAACTTTGATGTTTAGTACAGAGATAATGGCTGCTATTTGCATGTGTACATTTAGTGCAGGCTACCATAAAACTTTCCATCTCATAGAAACATAGCACTCTGTGAATAGATGGCTCACAACCCCCCAAACATTGTGGTTAGCACCTTTTTTTTCTTTTCTTTTTCCAAATGTAGTATTTGTCTTTAGTCTACTGCATGTTACAAAGAATGTTTTTGTTCTATGTTGCTATTTAAAGTTCTGAAAGCTTAGAGGAGGGTTGTTTATGAATCCTGAAATCCTGCAAATGATTGGAGGACTGTTCAGAACTACATAAACTTGTGAAAATTCGGTGGGGTTTTTGTTACCGCTATGCAGAGTGTGCTTAAAAAAGAAAAAAGAAAAAGTATTTCATGATCCTCAGTATCTGTGTGTAGAAA